TTTGATGTTTTTTGGGAGAAAAAATTGGATGAATAATGAAAATCTAATCAAATCCCCAAACAAACACACCCTAAAATAACCATCAGTCTCATAACTACGTATCCGTTTGTTTTTCCACATAATTTTAGAAATTTTAATATTATATTGAGATATAGTATGAATAAAATAGAAATGAGTCAAATAACCTTATTAGTATTGTGTGATATAAATGTAATGACATTTGTGTAATATATTGTAAGTTGTATGAGTATTTGTAATGTTATGTAGATAATACAGTTACTAAAAAAAGAAATGGATAAATGGAAAAATGGATAGTTTGTTATGAGATGGAGGGAGTATAAAATATGACAATTAATTCGGTACAAATCTGGTGTGTTTGTTTAGGGTTTGAATTTTTTATTTAAGATTTTAATAGTAAAAATTTTAAATTGAAATAGTTGTATAATGTTATATAAATAAGTGTTGATATGATATTTTAATATAAAATTAATTTCTTATATAATAAAAAAAATAGATATTTGATTTGATATTTTTTTTAAAAAAAATAATGAATAATAAAAATTTTGTAATATTTAATAAAATAACACACATTTAGGGTGTGTTTGTTTGGGGGATTGGATTTTAAATCCACGATTTATCCCATTTTTTTCCCCCAAAAGTATAAAATCAAACACCTATTTTTCATTTTTTATATTATACTAAAAATTAATTTTACATTCAAAAAATCACATCTAACACCTATTTATATCACATCATACAGTTATTCAAATTCAAAATTTTTACTATTCAAATCCCAACTCAAAATACAAACTCCCAAACTAACACACCATATTGTTTTATAAATAGGGGTAAATTATATAACATTTTTTGTATTTTAGTAAAAATGTATAAAACACTCAAATTTCATTTATTGCGTGTAAAACCCCTTCTGTAAAGTTTGCAGGAAACACCCTATTTGTCCAAAATTTATTTTTGATTTTTGAACTTAAGATTTTAATAGTAAAATTTTAAATTAGAATATTTATAAAATGTTATATAAATAGGTGTTGATACGATGTTTTAAATATAAAAGTAAATTTTTAGTATAATAAACAATAAAAAATATTTTTGATTTGATATTTTTGAAAAAAAATAAAAATAACTAATAATAAAAATTTGGTAATATTTGATAAAAGAACAAACATTTAGATGTTTTATTTTTAATTATTATTATCTTGTTTCTTTTTTATTAATTTCCTTCCACATGGTTTTAAATTACAATTTTCTTAACAATCAATTAGAAAATATACTATTCCTTCGTTCCCGTGTATTTGTTTTCTTAAAAAAATACGAGGATTATATATTTTAATTATATTTAAAATTTAAAATTTATATTTTTTTAAATTTTAATTAAATTATTTAGTTATTTTAATTTTAATATACTCTTATTAATTTATTATAAAATAATTATTTTTATTAATATAAATTTAATTACTTGTTAATTATACTTTATATAAATTCATATAATACAATAATATAAATAATTTATTTGGGACAAAGGGAATATGCAATTCTAAATTATATTTATTTATTTATTTATTGTATCACTTTATTCACATTTATGTATTATTATTATTATTGAAATTTGTCCGACCCACAATTCAAATTCTATAACCTAGATCCGGTTCTATAACCCCAATCGACCCGCATCCTTATATCCCTCTCTCTTCGTTGGTTTTTCTCTCATACTTTTTTTTTCCTCGTATTTTCTCTTAAAGGAGCTCTATATGGAAATAGTTTCGTAACTAAAGAATTTTTGCATAAATAATTGGCGTTGAGTTGGCCCGCATGTGCTAAATTGGTGCTGACGCAACTGAAATATCAATATCATGTCAACGACGTGTAGAATTATATATATATTTAAAAATAAAATTGTTGGCTTTGGTCCAAATTGGATCAAATTGTAAACAAAATTTTTACAAATTGATCCAATTAGACCAAAGTGTAACATTGTGTCAAGGTGTTGTTTGATTTATTTAATTTAATAATTTTACACTTTAGTCCAATTGGATCAATTTGTAAAAAAAAATATCTATAATTTAATTCAATTTAGGCCAAAGTCAACAAATTTATTTTTAATTTTTTTAAAAAAAATTAAAAATCCACATTTCGCCAGGACCAACTCAACACTAGCATGATATATCACACTGCACGGATTTGTTTCTGGATTTCCTCCAAAACCTTCCCCGCCCACCACAAAGGGACCAACCCGACACCGCCAGGAGATTTTCAACTCACGAGGGCGAGCCCACCATCACAACTAATGCCCAATGCCACCCAGTCCACTTCACCATCTAACCGGGCTCTGATACTACTGTTGAAACCGGGTCAACTCAACACTAGTATGATATTGTCCGCTTTGAGCTGAGCCCGCACAGATTTGTTTTTGAATTTCCTCCAAAAGACCTCATTCTAGTGGAGTTCGTTTGAGACTTACAAGGAGTGTAATTTTCTTCACAACTTCCAATGTGGAACTTGAGTTTGCACCCCAACGGACCATTTGTGTGATTTTATTTAGTATTTTTTATTGTTGGACTATTTTCATTGTCCGATGCAGAACTAAAAGAATTACGATATATACATTTTTTATGAGCAAATATATTCTCATCTATCTTCTATTTTATATATATTAATGATGATAATATTTTTAAAAAATTTGTAAGTCCAGCATAAAATACACTTTCAACCAAAAAAAAAAAAAAAAAAAGATTATAACATAAAATTCGATTTCATAACTGTCCAATAAATATTGATATAATCATTACATTACTTTGTAACAATTTATTTATTTAAAAAAATATATCTTTACTATTCGTTTCCTAAGGGAAGAGACACTTTCGATTTGGCAAAAGAATACAGCCGTAAGTTTGATCACATTGTCCGGCACATGCTTCTACCTTGTCAGCATCATTTTCGGTAACATCCGCTACAAATAAAACAAAAAATGAGAATAAAACAAAAATAATACAACTCGAATTTGAAAAAAAAATAAAATTTAAATATCTTACTCAAAGAAAATACATCTTTGCATTGTCGTTCAATACAAGCTTGGCATGTCGCTTGCTCGCTATTTGTCGTAGGATAAGTGAATTTGCATTTAAGCGCGCATTCTGCCAAACACGACCGTTTCTTCTCGTCGAATATACATTGCGGAAAAATACATTTAAAAAAACATTTCTTGAATGATGCCGAAGCCTGACTAGAAAGCATAAGTACGATTATCAATGTAATCGTTACTCGAATATTTTTCGCCCTATCCATCACTCTTAGATTTTTATCGTAATTTTTATATCTATTATTTTATTTTTACTTTTTGTACAATTTCTTTCGGAATAAGTTTTTATTTATGCTAAAAGTATTGAAGAATAATAGTAAGTGTATTATTATTATAATTATTATTATTTTCTAAATTTGCTGTTTTAATTTGTTTCCTTTTAATTCTATTTATTCTCAATGCATTTAATTAAAAGTTATATAAGAAATATATTAAATTGTTACTTTTTCTATGACTATATATATAATTGTATTTTCCATTGAATAATTTTTCTTTGACTATATTAATTTTATTACTTTTAGTTCTATTATTTGTCTCCGCATTTGATTTGAATTTACAAGATGTGTGTTTGTTTGGGGGTTTGGATTTTAAGTTGAGATTTGAATAGTAAAAATTTTGAATTTGAATAGTTGTATGATATGATATAAATAGGTGTGATGTGATGTTTTGAATGTAAAATTGATTTTTAGTATAATATAAAAAATAAAAAATAGGTGTTTGATTTGATATTTTTTGGGGAAAAAAAAAGGAATGAATAGTGGAAATCTAATCCAATCTCCCAAAACAAACACAAATGATTATATATGGTCATAGAAAAAGATAACATTTAAATAATTATAGGGGTGTGTTTGTTTGGGGGATTTTTCCCTAACTTCACTATTCATTCAATTTTTTTTCTCAAAAAATATCAAATCAAACACCTATTTTTTATTTTATTTTTTATATTATACTAAAAATCAATTTTACATTCAAAATATCACATCAACGCCTATTTATATTACATTATATTACATTCAAAATTTTTACTTTTCAAATCTCAATCAAAAATCCAAACCCCCAAACAATCTTGATAAATTATACTCTCTCCGTCCCTTAACAATCTATTTATGTTTCCATTTTCGTCTAACAAAATATCAATTTCTTTTTTTAGTAACTATACTATCTATTTAATATTACAAATATCTTTCCAATTTACAATATATTACACAAATGTCATTACTTTTATATCATACAATACTAATAAGGGCAATTTAATATTTTTACCTTAAGTTCTACTATATTCTAATATAATACTAATATTTTTAAAACTCCGTCCAAAAAGTAAATAAATATATAGATATGGACCAAGAGAATATATAATCTAAGAGAAAGTAACACTTAAAATGCAAGTGTTACTATATATATAATTATTTATTTTTTTACTTTTTTATAATCCAAGAACCTTTATTATTATTATTATTATTATTATTATTATGTTAATTTTTTTTTTTCTTTAGAATCTTACATTTAAATAATTATTTTATCTTTAAAAAGCAAAATATAAGGACAAAATCCAAATCAATTAATTTGTTTTTTGTATTATTTTTAACATTCAATAATAATATTTACCAACAATAAAATTTTAAAAACTTCATAGATATTTTTTTATCTATCTCTGAATAAAACTCTTGGTGTCAGCAACCGATAATATAATAAATTAATAAAAATGATTAAAAAAGAAAAAAAAACTAAGAATGTTTTTTAAGTACACATGAGTGTACTTATTTATTAGTTATTATTATTTTTTTATATTTGTTAGAGTTTCGATTGTTTCATATTAGAATTTTTTCACTTTGTTTGCAATATGACGTTTTTGTAAAAGTATTTTTTAATTTTTTTTTTAATATTAGTAATAAAATTTAGCTGATTCTGGCTAAGAACTCTTCGCCGATGCGCACTTCATTCCCTCGACAATGGTCAGAGAAATCGGCGGCGACAACATCCGAGCTTATGTCCGATCAACTCTGAATCCCACCGCGACTATCAGGTCGCGGGGAACCGTTGTAAGCAAATCTCCGTCGTCGCCGCGCATGGCCTCGTTCTCCAGCCGTGGTCCGAGCTATCAAACCTCTGAACCTCCGAGATTCTCAAGCCGGATGTGAACGCGCCCGGAGTCAACATTCTCGTCGGCTGGACCGGTTACGTCTGGCCAACGTCTCTCAACAGCGATAATCGCGAGGTCGAATTCAACATCATCTCTGGCAGGTCGATGTTGTGCCCTCACGTCAGCGGCTTGGCGGCGCTGCTGAAACAGGCCCACCCTGAGTGGTCGCCGGCCGATCAAGTCAGCATTGATGACCACGGCGTACAACGTCGATAACAACGGGAATAATTTAACGGACCTCGCCACCGGGGACGTGTCCAATCCGTTCTCGGGCCACGTCGATCCAAACCGAGCAACGAATCCCGGCCTGATCTACGACATCGATACCCAAAACTACGTAGCGTTTTTGTGCAGCATCAGGTACAATGCGCAGCAAATTACGGCATTCACGAAAGATTCGTTGATCGTGGATTGCAACGCAGTCGGGCTGAAAACTCCGGGGGATTTGAACTACCCGTCGTTCTCGGTTGCCTTCTCCGGCTTTAAAAGCGTTGTGAAGTATAAACGAAGCGTAAGAAATGTCGGGAAGGAGGCGAATGCCGTGTACGAGGTGACAGTGCACGCACCAGACGGCGTGGAAGTGACCAGTAAATTAGAGTTCGGCGAGAAGGAAGACACTCTATTTGGGTCTAGAGATAAAGATAAATCTAATAACTAAATACAATGGTAATGGTAATTAGGAAAACATTTCTTTTTCGTATTTGCAAAGCTTTATTCTCTCGGTTCTGTTGGCATGCAGGTGACCCAGGTTGATCTCCAACCTATCGCCACTTAATTTTTTATACGGTTTTCGATTTATATTAAAAAAATATAATATATATAGTTTTGTACAAAATATATAATATATAATTTATATACTAAAAAATATAATAGTTTAACATAAAATATTACTCCATCAATCCCACTAAATTTATCCACTTTTTCTATATCCATCCGTCATGTATAAATTATCTCTTTTATTTTTTGCAAATATAATTATACACTTTAATCATATTTTAAAATTCATAATTTATAATTTTTTTTATTTTAATTAACTATTCAGTCATTTTAATCTATAATTATTTTTATTATACCATAATTATTTTTACTAATATATTTCTTAATTACTTACTAATTATATCATAACTAAAACTTCGTGCCTAAGCTAAAATAGACAAATTAGTTGGGACGGAGGGGTTTTTTTTTTTTACACTACTTTAAACTAAAAATACAAAATTAATACACCAAAAAAAATAAATTTTAAATTATTAATCTATTTAAAATATCATTAGTAATATAATAAAATTAATGATTATAAATAAATATATGTAATTTCAGCAGTATATTCAAATAAAATATTATAAAATATATTTTTATAGAAGCAATAAAATATAATTTAAATATAAAAATATATATACATATAATATTAAAAAAAGAAATTATTTTAATTTTTATTAGATTAGATAGGAGGAGGGTATTATATATGTAAGTTTTTAAATTAGGTAAGTAGCCGTTAAGCATAATGATTTTGATTTTGATTTTAATTTTAATTTTAATATACACATAATATTTAAAAAAAAGAAATTATTTTAATTTTAATATATACATAATATTAAAATGTGAAATTATATATGGTAACTTTTTATGTTAGGTAAGTAGCCGTTAGACATAATAATTTTGATTTTAATTTTAATATACACATAATATTAAAAAAAGAAATTATTTTAATTTTAATATACACATAATATTAAAATGTGAAATTATATATGGTAACTTTTTATATTAGGTAAGTAGCCGTTAAGTATATGATTTTGAATTTGAATTTGATTTTAATTTTAATATACACATAATATTAAAATGTAAAATTATATATGGTAAGTGTTTTATATTAGGTAAGTAGCCGTTAAGTATAATGATTTTGAATTTGAATTTGATTTTAATTTTAATATACACATAATATTAAAATATAAAATTATATATGGTAAGTGTTTTATTTTAGGTAAGTAGCCGTTAAAGCATACATTATAAATATTCTTGATTTTGATTTTGTATACATTATTATAAGTTTTTGGGGGTGCAATACAAATGCAATGGGGGGTACGAGCAGGGCAGGGGCAGGGGGGTTCTTGGTTTTGTGAGAGGAAATTAGGAATTACGAAGAGGTGTGTTTACATGAGGGAGGGCGATCCATTTAAGGAAGAGGTCAAGTGCAGTGCTTAGGAGGGCGATCCATTTAAGGGAGAGGTCAAGTGCAGTGCTTCGATCTCGATCGATCGATCGATGCAATAGCAGCAAAGCAAGGGCAGGGGCAGGTGGAATTCCGAAAGTTTTGTGAAGAGGGTTCTGGAGAATTTCGGGGATCCAGCTGACACTTGCAATGGGGTACGAGCAGGGCAGGGGCAGGTGGAATTCCGAAGGTTTTGTGAAGAGGGTTATGCAGAATTTCGGGGATCCAGCTGACACTTGTCGACAAGTAAGTTTTGAGCTTTACTTTTACTGCTCTAGTGGTAATGTAATTTTGGTGAAGTCTTCAATATTTACAAGGGTTTAGAGCCTTTTTTGCTGCTATATTCATCGGTAAAATACAAATTAATTGTTGCTTTATTTTAAGTGCTTTTTCAATCTTGGAACTTTTCTTGAAAAATTTTAGAATCCAATCTTAGAACTTTTTTTGGAAAATTTTAGAATCCAATCTTGGGAACTTTGGCACTTTTCTTGGAAAATTTTAGAATCCAATCTTGGAACTTTTCTTGGAAAATTTTAGAATCCAATCTTGGGAACTTTGGCACTTTTCTTGGAAAATTTTAGAATCCAATCTTGGAACTTTTCTTGGAAAATTTTAGAATCCAATCTTGGAACTTTTCTTGGAAAATTTTAGAATCCAATCTTAGAACTTTGACACTTTTCTTGGAAAATTTTAGAATCTAATCTTGGAACTTTTCTTGGTTATGATGTACCTAATAATGAATGATTTTGGATTTGACTCTTCACTTAAGCATGTGATTTGTTAGTTATTCTGGATCGATGATGTTGTGTGCTTATTTTGTAGGAGACATAAGAGACCCTTCTACCCCCATATGTACATGTCTTCCCAAAGAAGAGACTGTCCAAGAAGCTGCTGAAACACGTCAATAAAAATGGTGGGATGATCCTAACGGACAGCAGCACCCAAGGCGATCGCGATGGCATTTCCTCCTCGACTAGAGATTCTAATTCGAGAGGGAGCGGCCGCATGATCGGACTACCGACCATACATAATAGGGAGTAGTTCTTCATTTTTCTTTAACTTTTATGCATTGCATTGATTTTATCATATTGCATATAGAGTTAGAATTATTTTTACGTCCCGGGACTTGCATGCATTAACTTTGTTTCTAAATTTTATACTAACACATTTTTTTAGTGTTTTTTAGTTTGTAGGTAAAGCTTATTGGGAGATTTGAGGAAGCGAAAAGATCCGTCGATCTCGATTTCAAATACAAAGTAAGTGATTTTAATATTATTTTGTTGTTTCCTATACATATATACTAATATCTATTTTAAATCTTTTTAGATGCATACGAGAGGAAGCGGCCGGATGATCGGACGACCGTAGGGAGTAATTCGTCCCTTTCATTTTACATTTATGCATTTAATTTAATTTAGCATTATGCATATAGAAATAGATTTATTTTTACGTCCGTCCCGGGACATGCATGCATTAATTTTGTTTCTATATTTTATACTAACTTATTTTTAAGTGTTTTTAATTTGTAGGTAAAGCTTATGTGGAGACGAGGGAGTGGCCGGATGATCGGACGACTGTAGGGAGTAATTCGTCCATTTCCTTTTACATTTATGCATTTAATTTAATTTAGCATTATGCATATAGAAATAGATTTTTTTTTACGTCCGTCCCGGGACATGCATGCATTAATTTTGTTTCTATATTTTATACTAACTTATTTTTAAGTGTTTTTAATTTTTAGGTAAAGCTTATGTGGAGACGAGGGAGTGGGCGGATGATCGGACGACCGTAGGGAGTAATTCGTCCATTTCCTTTTACATTTATGCATTTAATTTAATTTAGCATTATTCATATAGAAATAGATTTATTTTTACGTCCGTCCCGGGACATGCATGCATTAATTTTGTTTCTATATTTTATACTAACTTATTTTTAAGTGTTTTTAATTTTTAGGTAAAGCTTATGTGGAGACGAGGGAGTGGGCGGATGATCGGACGACCGTAGGGAGTAATTCGTCCATTTCCTTTTACATTTATGCATTTAATTTAATTTAGCATTATGCATATAGAAATAGATTTATTTTTACGTCCTTCCCGGGACATGCATGCATTAATTTTGTTTGTATAATTTATACTAACTTATTTTTAAGTGTTTTCAATTTGTAGGTAAAGCTTATGTGGAGACGAGAGAGTGGCCGGATGGTCGGATGACCGTAGGGAGTAATTCGTCCCTTTCCTTTTACATTTATGCATTTAATTTAATTTAGCATTATGCATATAGAAATAGATTTTTTTTTACGTCCGTCCCGGGACATGCATGCATTAATTTTGTTTGTATAATTTATACTAACTTATTTTTAAGTGTTTTTAATTTGTAGGTAAAGCTTATGTGGAGACGAGGGAGTGGCCGGATGATCGGACGACCGTAGTGAGTAATTCGTCCATTTCCTTTTACATTTATGCATTTAATTTAATTTAGCATTATGCATATAGAAATAGATTTATTTTTACGTCCGTCCCGGGACATGCATGCATTAATTTTGTTTCTATAATTTATACTAACTTATTTTTAAGTGTTTTCAATTTGTAGGTAAAGCTTATGTGGAGACGAGAGAGTGGCCGGATGGTCGGATGACCGTAGGGACTAATTCGTCCCTTTCATTTTACATTTATGCATTTAATTTAATTTAGCATTATGCATATAGAAATAGATTTTTTTTTACGTCCGTCCCGGGACATGCATGCATTAATTTTGTTTGTATAATTTATACTAACTTATTTTTAAGTGTTTTTAATTTGTAGGTAAAGCTTATGTGGAGACGAGGGAGTGGCCGGATGATCGGATGACCGTAGGGAGTAATTCGTCCCTTTCCTTTTACATTTATGCATTTAATTTAATTTAGCATTATGCATATAGAAATAGATTTATTTTTACGTCCGTCCCGGGACATGCATGCATTAATTTTGTTTCTATATTTTATACTAACTTATTTTTAAGTGTTTTTAATTTGTAGGTAAAGCTTATGTGGAGACGAGGGAGTGGGCGGATGATCGGACGACCGTAGGGAGTAATTCGTCCATTTCCTTTTACATTTATGCATTTAATTTAATTTAGCATTATGCATATAGAAATAGATTTATTTTTACGTCCGTCTCGGGACATGCATGCATTAATTTTGTTTCTATATTTTATACTAACTTATTTTTAAGTGTTTTTAATTTGTAGGTAAAGCTTATGTGGAGACAAGGGAGTGGCCGGATGATCGGACGACCGTAAGGAGCAATTCGTCCCTTTCCTTTTACATTTATGCATTTAATTTAATTTCGCATCTTGCATATAGAAATAGATTTATTTTTACGTCAGTCCCGGGACATGCATGCATTAATTTTGTTTCTATATTTTATACTAACTTCTTTTTTAAGTGTTTTTTTTTTTGTAGGTAAAGCTTATGT